CCTTCCCTCTAGTCCTACACTAATAAATTAGGGACGGCTAGGGCAGATAGCCCTCGTGTAGCTTTGCGCGAAATTCAAAACAAACAAACAAACACTATATAACGCATTTTTCTCCACATTCAAAATTTTTCTGATACGTTTTCAACACCTAGCGGAGAAAATTCGTTGCTTGTATATTACATTCAAATTAGGACAAATAAAAAAATGAAAATAAGTACATTTTTAGCGTCCCCCGCCCACTTCTTTTTTTTTTTTTTGCAGCCGTTTCCCCCAACTTTTTTTGGCAATTTTTTTATCTTTTTCTTAAATTATCGTTTTTCGATCATACGAAGAAAACTTCTGAATAGAAAATTAGATGAACACAATTGATTCATTTTGCCCGTTTTCTGTATTTGTCATAAATTCTGTATCGTTTTGATGAAAAATGAAACAAAGAAATCTTATGTTTGATGTGGACCCTTTGAAAATATGCAACAATCATGAAAAAAAGGTGCATACTTTCTTTCAAAGAGGTCATAAAAAAAACAGGACCTCTTCTTTCCTTTTTTTTTTTTTTTGAAACTCCGGACGCTTGATATATGTTGTTGCTTTTTGTTTGTTTGTTTTTACTTGGCTTTACATGAATATTTAGGGGGGAAAGAATGAATGACAAGTATTATTAAATATTATTTGCATGAAAACAAAACTCTCTATAAATCTCTGTACTACTATTATCCTGGCATACTGCAAAGAAAATATGTTCTTAATTGAAAAATAAATAAAAACTTCAAGTCTGTAATATTTACAACAAAAATAAACGTAAAATTTTCACATTAGTAAATAATAAGCACTTAGAACTAAACTTGTCAGTTTGGACAGTAATGAGCGCTTAATATCCTTGAATAGAATTAGAACACTGGGGACATTTTTTTAAAACAATAGAGCTAAATTTCTCTATCCTATCGAACACCTTAACGCAGTTGTATCATGGAGCACAGCTGAGCCACAAAAAAACGAGAATCATGTCATATTAATTTCCTTCTCTTGTTCAAGCCTAACGTTTCACAACCATTAACACAGACCAAGGAAAATGTAAAATCAAGAAAATCCCAAATTTTCTACAGTTAAAAACTAACCACGACTATCATATCTGAAACATGTATTCGAAATGTAGATATTGTTACGACAGCGGAAGTCACGTGACTCTGGTAACACGTAATGAGTTTCTAGAAGGATCATGACTTTTCCTGGCAACTCTAGTCTGTTCTATGCGCCCTCTTTTTTAGTATATAAACCCAG